AAAAATAAAATTTCATAGTTGTAAAAAACAAAAAATATTAGAGTATATTTTACAAGTAAACACAATTTCAGTCTTTCTACTTCAAAATTTCATGTTTAATAAATTAACATTTATTTGTGAAATTTACTCCTTTACAATTTCTGAGTGAAAACTGTTTCCAACTAAATCAATCCTACACCAATTTTTTTATTGCTTATCTTGTACTTTACTTTTACGGTCTGTTCTGGAAGCTTTTATGGATCAATGTACAGCAATACTCTGCTCACGACCATGTGACCCCATTCAGCCTCTAATCCTTTTGGATTGACAAGCACGTCAAAGTTAGATATCGGAGGTGGTGGAGCAGGGTGACTGCATTTTTCTGTGGACATGTGTCTCCTACAACACTGTGTAATGAGGTAATTGTAAAACTATTGTTCCATAACATTTTGAAAAATGATTTTCAGAAAACGGCTGTACGCTCCCCTGCTTTCACAAGAAAATGGTGGCAATGCACAAACACTTTAGACGTTCTCGGAATGAAATGGACGACATTGCACAGATGATGAAGGGCAGGATTTTTATACCATTTAGCAAGCCAGAGTTGTAATCATAAAATAATGTGCTCCAGTGACCCAAATCTCAGGTTACTTTGTCAGAAGCATTGCACACACACATACAAACACTAGTACATACTGGAAAATCATACACCCGCTCGCCGCTGCCTCAGGCACAGAGTTTGTTGAATTATAGCCCCAACACGCAGACAAAAGGGGACGAAATATAAAGCATTTATTATTTCACAATTAACCTGCAAGCAATAAAAAACTCAGAGACGGCAGAAAATCGCATGCAGGTCAAATTCACATGAGAATTCCTGGAAGTTTCCAAATTTAGAGAAAAATTCTCCAATGTCCTTTTTTTGAGCCTGTGGCTAGGTGGCTCGAGTTATGACCTACTTTTCCCCTTTCCTACTGGACTACAAATTAAGGGAACTTAAACAAGGAGAGCAATGCAATACAAGCTTTTATCGCCTTCCACACTGTCAAATCCATAATACCAGTTTCTCTGTATTGCTAGGATAGAAATCAAAGCAATTATCCACAAGATGCCATGCATTACAGTCATTTTAACATTATTTTAAAGGGAGTCAGGCACAGCATGAAACGTCCTCATTTTTCAAGCAGCAGCAATAGCAATATGACAAAAGACACCATTTTTATAAATAATTCTCCAGCCAAGGAGTATTAAGTAGAATATAACTAAGACGCGGACTATTGCATTGGATATTTTACAATGGATTAGAAATGTTTGGTCAGATTTAAAGGGACAGTTCACCCAAAAATTAAAATGCTGTCATCATTTACTCACCAGTATCATTTCAAACCAGTATCAGTTTCTTTCTTCAGTGGAATGTAAAAGAAGCTAGTTGAGAAACGTTTTATGTTTGACAAAAGAATGAAAGTCATACATGGTTGAAACAACATGAGGGTGAGTAAATGATGACGGGTTTTCCATTTTTGGGTGAACTATGCTTTTAAGACTCTGAACTATATGGTTTCAAATTTAATATTATTCCCGTTGATAGCACTCTTTATAGAGTTTATTTTCAAAAGCGCCTATGAGGTTGTTTGCATTAGTGGAGAAATATCTGTTTAGAACTGTTTTCGCTTGTAAAGGGTGCTTGATCTGTGCATATTTCTCTCATTCAGATGAGATGACTTTTTCCACTGGAGAAAGCAATATTATGGATAAAGGACTCTTAAAGGTTTGAAGTAAAAAACATCTTAATGATGGATTCGTTTAGTACAAACACAGCTTTTTGCTTCACACTGATTACTTGTGGATTAATGGGATGTTTTTATCAGCTGTTTGGACTCTCATTCTGACGGCACCCATTCACTGCAGAGGATCCATTAATGAGCGAGTGATGTAATTCTAAATTTCTACAAATCTGTTACGATGAGAAAACAAACTCATCTACATCATGGATGGCCTAAGGGTGAATCAATTTTCAGCAAATATTCATTTTCGGGTGAACTAATCCTTTAACATGTGTCTCTTAAAGTTTTGCTTCTCATACTCATCGTCAGTCATGTTTGAATAAATGAGGAGTGATGCCTGGCTTCTAAAATGAGCATGAAAGTTATGCCATTACGGATTATGCCTGCAATATATCATGTATCAATCAACAATACATCATCTCAGCTTTTTCATTTTCCAACACCTGGGCAGGTTTTGAAAAGGGAAATTACTGTGCAGAAAAAAAAGACGCTGACACATACAAATCCTTTATGTCTAATTTTGGGTCAAACCCAACTATAATTGTTGCAAATGCAGTCTTTTATAGGCAAAGCTAGCCATTTTGCTTCGATGAGCAGTGCATTCCATTGCAAAAAAAAACTGATGTATAATGAATTTTTCTTCTCTATGGAAAGCATATTAATATTTACAAATTGAAAAATGCACAAAAACATCCACTCACCATCCACTCTGAAATGATTATGTCCACTTTTTCCACAGGAAGGTCAATTTCCTCTATTCTGCCCTTGATCAACGTGATGGTGTCTTCAAGTTTATTTGATCTAGAGAAAGCAAAAATAAACTTATAATCTAACACTTATAGTAGATGTCGGTATATTGATTATATTAACTAAATTAAATTAAATGAATACATTATAAATTGTTCAATATTTTTTGAGTTGCAAGTGTTCCAATGAACAAAACAGAACAGAACAGAACAGAACAGAACAGAACAGAACAGAACAGAACAGAACAGAACAGAACAGAACAGAACAGAACAGAACAGAACAGAACAGAACAGAACAGAACAGAACAGAACAGAACAGAACAGAACAGAACAGAACAGAACAAAATAAAAAGAGAGCACAAAAAAACAAACAAAAACTATTTGGAAAATAAATAAATTATAAATGATAAAATGCATGGTACTGGTTTGAACACCTCGTCTGAGACAATGAATGTTAATTATGCTAATTTGGCCAGGAGTCAATCTCCTCAAAGACGGCTGCTAATTAATCCAAATAACCCACACCACAGCGGACTCACCAGGACAACAACACTAACAGCCCCAATTTGACAGCACCTCCTCCTCAACCATGGCCTTTTGCACTAAGGGTCGCAAACTAGCGTTCACCTGAGTGTTTGTGTGTAAGTGTGTAAACGTGCATGAATACCCCCCATCCCCCCTTATTTAAATGAGCGCTCCCATTTTGACCGGTAACCCTGAGCATCAGTCTCTCTAAATACTCCATTATCATGACAGCTAATGTTACTAGGGACAGAGTCATTACTCAAGCCTGCAGAGCGCATTTCTGCCCAACCGATCCTTATCTCTGCACCTTCGCGCTATCACACTCTTCCAGAATCCCATTGTAGCACTCCCTCTATCCGCCCCTCCTTCAGCGGACTGTCTTGAGCTAGGAAACACTAATCTCATTACTGGGTTAATTTAGAGGACAATGTCAGCTATGGGGGGAGAAGGAGGGGGATTTGGGATGCTTTAATACTTCCCTCCACTGGATGGTACTTGGTTTAGGGAATATGATCCAAGTATATTGATCCTCTGGGACTAATGATTGGATTTAAGCTGTAAAGTGTTGATGGCAGACTGGATTGTCCACCAAATCACCATCTGGTGTTAAACGGTGTAATCTAGGGAATAAATTCCTAAATTGTATAGATCACGTGGGGATTATCTGGATTTTTGCTGTAAATTCTCCTAAAACATTAATAAAGACACTTATTGAACAAAAAGCCAGGGAAACATTTCACAATACAAGTGCAACACAACTAGCCTAGGTTTGTGAAAAACAAGTTTTTCCATTTGATTCTAGATTATTCTTAATTTAGAATGACTTCTAGATCACAGACAAACATATCAAAATATGCATTTATCAAGGAACTTGATTGTTTTTGCCCATTAAATATCCTGACGTTCTTAAAGACTGTGGATCTCAAATATTTATATATCCTAAAATAATTTATCATTAAGTCCAAGATGAAATTGTGCAATGCACCTGCATTACAGAAATAGTCCATATTAAATAACTAAGAATGTACAAGCTATTGATTCATCCCTCAGTTTACACACAGAATAAATAAATAAATAAATACATAAATGGTGCTACTTTGAAACAATTTTCACATTTAGAAATTGCTAGTAAATTTCACAGAGAAAAAAAACTATGAAATGATAAACATACTGATTAAACGTGACATTTTTAGATTAAAAAAAACTGAAAATAGTATGTTGTTGTAAAAATACTTGTAAAAATCTGTTTTATTGACAACTTACATTAAATTTACAGTGTAAGGTAAAAAAGGTGCTTCAATAAATAATGTAAACATTTTTATTCAATTACAAGTCTGTCAAAAAAAAAACTGGTATGGAAACACTTAAAATTTGCTAGTAAATTTCACAAACAATTACAAAAGAAACAGCAAGCAACACATGGAATTAAACATTACATTTTGAAGTAGAAAAACTGACTAGTGTTTTATTGTAAAACTTACTCCAGTCATCTTTGTTTTAATTACTTCTTTGAAAAATCACTTTTTACATTCTTGGCTCTTTCATGATAAATTGCTTGTGATTTCCCTCATTTTTAGTCTATAATAAGTGTTTAATTATTTAATGTAAATAATACTTATTACTCCATTGTACATGCATTTCTGTCAAAGTGTTTATTTAATTCATTTATATTGCTTTTTTATGTATATATTTTGCATTCAATTAAAAATTAAATTGAGATACTTCATTCTCGCCTCTATAATGCTGCATAAAGCAACGTGCACGTCAGAAAACCACCTCTGTAAAACCCATACACACTCAGGCGGCATGTAGGAGGCCTCGGCCCAACAGCGGCCCAGCGAGCTGTAAAATTAAACTTAATTTTCCTTTCATCCTCTTGCCTGCTTCGACTCCTCAGACTTACATAATAACAATAACCATAATCAAAAAAAATCTCCCAGAGACACCACATGTGGTGAACACATCTCAGCTCCAACAAATAAAACTATATTCGTGCTTCTGGATGAAATGGAAGTGCCTTCGGAGGTGATACATGAGGTCATTTTAATGGGCAGACAGGTCGTAAAAGGAAGCAGATAGGGCAGGCTGGAGTCCATTTGTATGTTTAGCGTGCGTGTGAGACACAGGGATGGAAGCAGGGGAGATTGGAAGTCGACTGTGTGGAGGTAAATGACAGGCCTTTAGGAACGTGACTGCAGCCTGTAAACACATTGAAGTCAAGCACTGAGACAAATAAAAAGAGAACTAGTTTGGGGGTGAGATTGCAAGGTAATAAAGCTCGCCGGCCCAGGTTTGGTGTAAGAGTGTTTCTCGGGCCACTTGACAAAACTGCCACTTCCACTTTTAGGCCAATTCTGCACTGTCACTGAAAATTTTGCATTAATTGATCTTGTACATCCATTTTTATGACTTATATGTTGGGTTTTTTTAATGATGAATTCCATACTGTTTGCAAATTCTGCTGATTTGTCAACAACATGATGTTGTATAGCTGGCTAACATACTGTATATCAAAACTAGGGTTGCAAAGGGGTGGAAAATTTCCGGAAACTTTCCAAAAATCCCTGGAATATTCCAAAAAAAATCCTGGAAAGTTTCCAAAATTTCTGGAATATTTCCAAAATTTACTGGAAATTTTCCACCTTTTTGCAACCCTAATCATAACTTGCCAAAACTGTAAAATTTATTTGTGATAGACTTGTAAACATAATTAAGAATGTTTTGAAAACTAAAAACCAATCAGTAATGGCTTAGTATTCCAGCAAAAATGGGTTTATGCATTATAAAGTGGGTTTATGAATGATTCACATATTTATATTATATGCACACATACACATACACACACATATATATATATATATATATGCTTCTATCCATTAAAAAATATCTTTCTTTTGTGGTGAGGCCAGTAAAATGCTGATAAAAAAAAAAATTCAGTAAATACTGGCTCATGCAGAAAAATTGTTGAATTGCTGCAATTTTTGCATTGGCAAAAACATGTGTGTTTTTATGACTTTTTTGTGTTTTGTATTCTGTTATGAATTTCACATTGCTGCTGCAAATTCCACTGATTTATCACCAATATAATGTTATCTAGTTGGCTAACATAGATCAAACGTGTTGAAATTGTAAAACTGACTTGAGACAGACATGAATGCATCATTAAGAATGTGTTGAAAACTACAAACCATCGGTTTAAACAAAAATCAGCAACTGCATCATATGCCACTGTTTCCAGCATTTTTTAAATGAATTTACTGTCTTATGGTCTGTTACAAAATTTTGGGGTAAAAATATTAAAATTTATAAATAATAAATAAAAAAATGCATTAAAAAAAAGTTGTGAAGAAAACTAACATTCAATGAAAATAAATAAATAAATAAAATATTTCACGCAAATATAAAAATATGATGCTAAAAAAATTTAATTGTGGTCAGGCCAGTAAAAATGTTGGTAAAAAAACAGAAAAAAAGGAAAAACTCTTATTGTTAAGCCCAGAAAATACAGGTGAAAGGAAGCTGGATTGATGGGAAGATGGGAAGAAGTGTCTCAAAGTGGATGAAGTTGGGAAAAAAATAATGCGGAAAATACTTTGGAAGCCATTAAAGGACTTCACATTGAGAGAGGACCTTTTCCAAAAGGAGCAATACTATACCTTGTTTTTACTAAAAACAAGTAAACGTATCCCAAGAGGCCCTTTCTCATATACTCAAGAGCCTGTTTATTACTTGAGTGCAATGTTGACTCACCTGACAATGTCCATGGCCTGGTAAATGATCTCAGATTGGTCGACAGCAATGACCTTCCTGGCTCCCGCTTTGGCTGCGAACATGGAGAGGATTCCCGTACCACATCCCACGTCAAGCACCACCTTCAGGTTAAAGGAGCACTGCGTAACCTTTCCACGCTATGCCAGCTTGTCTGTGGCATCTTAAGCGTACAGATGTGTAATAATGGCATCCAAGGCATTTATCATGCTGACAGGGTCTAACCCTTATTTGCCAAAGTCCACTGGCTGGACCACGATGGCCGAGATAAGCCTCTCGTCGTCTACCCCCACTTCACCTTTTTCATTCTAGCTCAGCGCGTCACTTCGGGATCCATGCTCAACCGCGGCCGGCTAAAGCTGATCTAGCCAATGTCAGCGCAAAATTAATGGTTTGTATATGAGCTGTGGTGTATGTTGCGTGTGTGCGTTGAAGCACCATTATCCTGTTATCAGCCCACTGCAGTTGACACATAAGAACAAAATACTGCAGCTTGGTATAATGCGAGGGTTTTTTTTATATCAGCCCTCTCAAAGCAATCATTACTCCGTTGTAGCTTTTCCTACAACACTTAAAAATGGCAAAGTGGCTGGGCTTCAAGAAGCCCATACTCACCTTGCCCTTGAAGACCTCCATGTTGCGGTACATGAAGTCTCGATAGCTCTCAGTGCGCACCTTGTCCTGTCGAAAAACGAGACAACCAAAGTTCTAAATGATGACACAGCGTCACCATTCTACTTTCCATTAAGAAGACAGAGCGCACCCATCCCAGTGCGAGAGGAATCGTTGAACACGATCCAATCATTCAGAGCAAAAATTAAATTTTAACGCCTTATACACAGTTAAAGCTGACAGTCAAGGCGCACGCTGGAAATCAAATTAACAATCGTTAAGCAGCATGAAATAAAAATCTCAGGAGTCAGGATTGAATTAGAAAGCAATTCAAAGGATGTGTGACTGGTAATGATTTTTTTTTTTTTTTTGAGGGGAGGAGGTTGGTGTTGTTGGGAGTGGAGATGAAAAATTAAATGAAACTGACCCTGACACTTCTTGCATTGCCAGCAGAATTTCAGCCAGAAATG